GTCAGTATCGTTACAATATGGAGCTTATCACCGTAGGAACACTCACATAATGGGGTTGAGATTGTTTCGGATCATGGTGCTCAGTTCCTGCACGGTGAGCTGGAGACTTCCGTCGCCAACGAACAGAACAGTCCGACGATTGCCCAATTCCTTCGCCGCCAGTGCAGCACCCTGACACGCCCCAACCGAGTAGCCAATGCTACCCCACAGGACCTGGCTAATGGCCGTAACGTTCGCCGGGAATCGGGTTTCCCAGATGCCAAAGTTGGCAGTACCCGTCTCGGTGATAACAATGTCATTCTCCTTCAGCCACTGACCAACATTGGGCCAAAGCCAGTCGTGCGTGATCTCCTGGCTGCTCGAAGATTTCTCGCTCTCGGGCAGCGCGTTGGAGAGATGCGGGACTGGCGCGGCGTTGACAGCACCCATCCTCTGAATGACTTTGCGCAAAACTCCCTTCATGTTGATCTCAGGATATTCCGAGTATCGCACGCGCACATAAGTACTGTGGAAATCAATAGTGTTGAGTTGTCCGATGTGGTACGAGAATCCGCTGGTGTTGAAGTCCGACTTGATAGCACCGATGCTCAAGATAAGATCGGAAGACTCAACTTGCTCACGAACACCCGCATTCGATCCAGTGCCAGCATACACACCGCCGTAGTTCGGACGGGTCTCATCTACTGCTCCCTTGCCCATCGGAGCCACGAAAGTAGGCAGGCCGGAAGCCTCCATCAAGTCATGAACTTCATCAAGGACCCGATGACGGATGGCACAAGCATCCACCAAAATAACGGGTTTCTTCGCAGCATGCAAGTACTTCAAAACGACGTCCACCACATAATCTTCCTTCTCAGGGTCATTTGTCGGTAGAGACAGATCCAGCGGTTTATCGAGGCGGTCACCTTCAATCTGCTTGGTAATCATGTCGGTGGGAAGACTGATGTAGACGGGTCGACTGCGAATCCAGCATTCACGGATGGCGTTGTCGATAAGTGTTGCAGCCTCCAGTGTCTCGTTCAAGCGACCGAGGGTACAAGAGATGCCTGCACTCATCTTCGCAAACACATTGAAGTCACCGTTTCCCAAGGTGTGGTGCAGCAACATGCCGTCCTTCTGAGACTTGGTGTTGGGCTGACCCACGATATGAACAATTGGCACAAATTCGGAGTACGATCCAGCGATGGCATTGAGCGCTGAAAGCTCACCCACGCCGAAGGTGGTAATCAGGGCACCAATTCCATTGACTCGAGCATAGCCGTCGGCGGCATATCCTGTAGGTTGTTCAAGTCAGTACTTGTCACCGTCACCAAGGTAGTACATCACAACAAAGGGATCGGTTCAAGCATACCGGCGTTGAGTTCATTGCAATTGCCCACCCAATGGAGGCCACACTTTGGCAGATAGTCCAAGGCTGCGAGGTTGTAGTCACCTGGTATAATCCATGATGGTTAGCGGGATCAAGCACTCCCCAAGTCCCCGAAGGTAAGTCGCACCTGGAACGCCATGCACAGAGCGAACGCCAACCTCGTGCAAACGACGGAAGAGGTACTCGGCAACCGTGATGGGCTTCCGAAGATCCCGGGTAGCGATATCGGTCGCCATCACGATAAATTGAACAGTGCGAGAAGATGGGGATTGATAAAGCTAGTATGGAGTGAAGCGCGAGAAGTACTGATTGTGTCTAAGAAGATGATTTTTACTAAGTGTTGAGGAGTGAAAGAGTATTAATAGGTGCCTCAGACTGTCACAACCAGGGAGTCTGGAACCAGTGTGGCCGTACGTCATGAATGGAAGGACACGCGTGATGTCATGCTGTAGAGGTGGAACTCGAGACAAAAATAGTGTCACCGAACTACAATACTCACGCAAACAGCCACACCATGCGATGGTGAATAGCAGCGGGATCTCCGGGATCATTCCTACTGGATAGGTATTTGATGCTTTGCGTGAATTCCAGGAGATCTCCGACCATGATGGCATGGATGGGGTGGTTTGATCGTATAATTCATGTCAAATAAGCTATGGCGGAACCCTGGAAGTAAGAGATGCTGCGGAAGCAGCGATAAACTGATAACAGCAGGTGCACTAGTTTCAAAAAGCAAGCAAGTCAATCCGGCCGAAACCACTTTGCAGTAAGAACGCAGCAAGTAACAGGCCGTCACTCCACCAAGTGGGATGATGATCGCCCGCTTTGCCGCTATTCCTTTTGTGGAATTTTAAACCCCCCCGCGCCATGCCTGGCCTTATCTGTTGGGAACCCTCGTGTCACCTGTAGTGCATCTAGAACTTCTAGGACCAGCTTAATCTCACCACTAAGCTTGAATCTTCCCTGTCAACTCGGACAACCGGGCAACGTGCGTGCACCTCCTGCGGTCAATTCCCCTCCCCACTTGCACACGCACAAATCCCGTATCGGCATCCCATCTCTTTCACCCGCGCATTAACATCTGTCGATGGCTGGATCAGGGAAGAGAGCCATGCCTGATAGGAAATCTGTTCAGCCTACTAAGAAGAGAAAGGTTCGCCCCATCTGATGTCCGTGGCATGTTGACCACAAACATCTCCCCATTGGCTTTTCCGCAACTAGTAATTGGTATCTAACGTGTGGCGGCACAGGGAGGTGGTCAATGGCAGAAACACCAACAAGGCAACAAGTCGGGCATTGAGGGAGGCGACTGGGGAGTCTTCGTGTCGTGCGACTTGGGAAAGGAAGGAAAGTGTATGGCAGAGGTAGTGGATGTCTTCTCACAGGTTAGTAGCATGAAGGGCAGGCTTTGCGCATAGAAGGAAACCCACGGTATCTGGCAGATTGATGCGATCTAATATGCTCCTCCATCTGACTTATTTGACTTATTCTTTTTTTTCCTCCAGAGTGTGGAGTCATCCAGCAGTGACAGTCATGGAGACAAGCCCGACTCGGATGAGGAGGATGACGATGATGACATCGAGGCCCTAATCAGAAAAGAGGTCGAAGGACTGAAGCCCAGCGCGAGCAAGTCGCGCCCGTTTCATGCCATCAGAATGGATTTGCCGTGTCGTGCGTTACCCTCATTATCCTCCCTAAAAATGATCTAAGTTTGAGAGACACTAATACGTTTCAGTGTTGTTTGTGCGATTTGACAAATCTATCAATCCAGAGGAAATGGTACATAAGCTTTGCTTAGACGCAGCTGCCAACCCTGAAAAGAAGCGATCCCGATACATCCAACGCATGACACCTGCAATTTCCGTTCGCAAAACTCTCAGTGTCGACCTGGAGTCTTTTGCACGGGAAGTCCTCAAACCGCATTTCCATTCCGGAGGGCCTCCCAAGAAGGTGAGTCGCTAAGGCTTAGACGGTCATGAAAATCCATTAACCAGATTATTTCAGTACGCGATTCGACCTGTGGTGAGAAGCAACAAGAAGTTCAACCGCGACATCGTCATCAAGACCGTTGCTGATGTCGTGGGGCCCGAACATCCCGTTGATCTCAAAAACTATGACTTGATCATCCTCGTCACCGTTATTCAGGTCAGTGCTCTACGGTCGTGGCTTGGAAGCCACTCATACAAAGCCCATAACTGACAATAAACCATCAGAATGTCATTGGCATGAGTGTTGCCGGAAGCGACTACGATCGGTTAAAGAAGTATAACCTGGCCGAGTTATACAGTCCAGCAGCTACGTCAGAGGCAGAGGCCGCCGAATCTACTAAGGACTAAACCCACATTCTCCCCGAGTAACTTATGGGCGTATAATTGGCGTCGGGCAAATCCTGAATAAATGGCCAAGTGTGATCGCCTCATCAGCTCCACGAAGAAAAAAAGCTAGAAATGTGTATATACAAAGTTCGCAATATCCTAACCACCGAAGTGCCCTCTCTTCCAGATGTCTCCTCTATGAGCCACATAAACTTTAGAGCCGACACATGATGCATAGAAACCGGCATTTCAGTTCGAAATGGTGTAATTAAGTGATAAGAGGATATAGCAAGGGGAAGCATAGTTCATTAATCCCCGCTCGAGGGACGGTCCGGCTGCCAATAGCCTGATCGGAGGAACAAACAGAACAGGGTTGTGCCAAAAGTTACCCAAGAAGCACAAAATACATTAAGCGGCACAAGCCGCCCACCTTTTGTGAAGATTGTGCAAAGGGTAACCCAGATAGCAGGAAGATATATCATCGTAGTAGCAGTACTACTTTATTCTATGCATAGACTATAGAAACTAATTAGATTGAGTCCGCTGCAACATCGGCATTCGAATCGGCCGATACAACCGGGGAGGATGCGCATTCGGCAAGGCCCGCCTGTGATTGGCCCGGTGTGGATGCACCCTGCATGGCGCCTTTCTCAGAGCGGGAGCCTTAGGCGAGCTGCGTCTCCATGGATCACAACTCTTTCCTTCACTTACTGGCCAATACTCCAATGATGCTTCTTGGGGTCTTCTTTCTCCAGTTTAAACAGTGGGGATCCCGGACGGATGTCCCCTTCAGTAAGGGGCTTCGGAAATGGATCTTCCGCTTCGCTTAATGTTTTCAAATGAGGGATATGCTCCTTGTCCTCGGTACGGGGTTCCTCCATCATCTGACGCTCAGAAACGAGATCGATCGACTGGTTTCCCTGTTCCTAGTATTACTGAGCTGTGCTGCTTTGTGGGTTAGACAATCTATTACCTTCCTTGTTCGATTGCAGTAACCTGCGTCTTACCTCTGTTCCATGTCCGGGCCCCATTTGTATCCCCGGGTTGCGGCCGCCTGGTCTTTCTCCCCGAGGGCTGCAGTAAAGATTTGCTCGCTCAGGTTATATTTCCTTGCTTTCCCCCAACAATATGGATCATCATAATTATACCTATTACTAGTAGCGAGCATGCGAGCGCTGAGGCATCGTAGCTGAAGTGGTGTGCGAAATGTCGCCTTCTTTATCTTCTGTTTTAGTTCCTGACCTTGAACCTTCTTATACTCTCGGCTCCATCCTTCAACGCCACTTTTCTTCTTCGGTGCAGGTCAAAGGAGTCTACCCGCTCAAGGGCCACCTACATTCAATCAATCGTCTCGTACTGTCGAATGGGGTCCAACTGCTACTGAAGTGCTCTCCAGGGCCGACAACACCTCTCTTACGGCGAGAACAGCTACTACTTGAGACTGAAGCCCGTGCTCACTCCATTCTGGTTCAACAAGACACTCCATATATCCCGTCTTTCCTGCACTATGGTCTCCAAGGGGGACCGTTGGGCTCTGCCTTCTTAGTAAGACACTATATCAACGGGGCGACACTGCAGGAGCTGGAAGCTGCGCTTACCATGCAAGAGCGGGATGATCTCAACCGGGCCTTGGGGTCATTAGCTCGTGAGATCGGACAGAATTTCTCCAGCTCCTTTGGCTCACTAGACCAGGTAGCCTGTGGATCAGGGAAGCAGTCCTGGCGAGAAGCATTTGTGACACTTCTAGAAGGCATTCTTCGGGACTCCGAAGACGCCTTTGTTCATCTGCCATATGCAGAGATTCGGAACCAAGTTCGTCGGCTGTCTCCTGCGCTCGAGGAAATCACGTCACCACAACTAGTGATTGTTGGGTTAGGGCGGCCGTCGCAGGTGGTGCTGAATCCGGGGTCGAAGAAGCTTGCAGGGCTTCTAGGGCTTGAGAATACTCTCTGGGGCGATGTGCATATGGCAGAGATCTTCGAGGCGCCGTCTCCAGCTGTGTTGGAGGGCTTTGGTACTCGACTGAAGGCAAATAAGGCCCAGGTGGCCCGTCAATTACTGTATGTGACCTTTAGATGAGACTGCAGAAGGTGGTAGTCTGTATGCTGACCGTCGACCTCCTAGGTATGCCTGCTATCGTGCTGTGCACCAGGTTACGATACACTACTACCGCGATCAGGGAATGGCCGCCGAGATCGATGCTAGGAGACGACTAACATCGATTTTAGCTGAAATGGCCTCGGTAGACGGAGTTTGCACGTTATGTTAAATTGCGATATCCAGGGACATTGATGTATCCTGGAAGATTATATAGATGGATCTGAGACACAAATTAGTTGGCTCGATCGGCCGGGCCGATCTGCAGCCAGACTTTGGGAGTCTCAAGAATGGAAAACGTCCCCTAGGGCTACATAACAGTGTTCGAACATAATCGAACATAGGCCTACATGATGATTACGACTTTGATCGGTTGCGGAGAAATCATATGAAAATGAAAGTCAATAGTCCAATGCAAGATTTGGTCATGTCGGCATGGAAGCTGTCTTGGCGATGATTTGTTGCTGCCTACGAAGATTGGCGAAGTCCTCGTTTGGAAGTTGATTTCCACCCAGATGAGAGATCTGGTTCCTGAGAAAATATACGAACTCATTCCGTGCTGGAACCAGGAGTACTGTCGGAAAACATAGCAACGTAAAACCCTACACATAATTGAGCAGTACGTAGTAGTAGAGAAGGACTGATCATTGTTGCAATCTTCAACAAGCGCGAGCCAGCAAGGGATCCCCATTGAATCCCGCGGCGGGCGGGGCACCACGCACTAAACTGGACTAGTCAATCACCTTCAAAGGTCAGTCAGCCTTAATGGCGTCAACCGTTTGGGTGGATTTCCGCGGTTGTCATTGAAACTGAACCACTTCTTCTTCGTCTTCCTCCTCTTGCTCCTCTGCCGCGGGGTGTCGTCGCAGCTTTATTTTTATTGTCATTTTATGATTTAACTAGCTCTTATATACTTCCTGTCAAGCGACTTTTCATCTTCCTTTCCCTCTATTCGACTTTCTCCTCCTCTCCAACCCCATCCCTTCAGTTCCGTGTCCGCCAGAATGGCGCATTTTCTGCGGGGAAAGCAGGCCGGCATTCAAAAGGACTTCTCCGAGAACTTGTCGCCGGACCTGTTCGCCCTCGATGATGTATATCACTAAGCAAACCCCTATACTTACCTTACTCGATTCTGTCTCGTGCATTGTAGACTAATTACCTGCTGTTACTGCTCATAGTTCGCTCGATGCGGCATAAACTCTCAGATCAGTGCGATCGCCTACGATCCCGTCCAGTCGCTCCTCGCCGTCGGAACAAGCGACACACAATTCGGCCATGGTCAGATCTACGTCTTCGGTCAACGACGAGTAGCGGTGGTGTTCTCGCTACCGCGGAAGGCGTCTGCCAAGTTCATTCAATTCTGCGCCGATAAGCTCGTCAGTGTCGACTCGAAAAGTGAAATCAGCATCTTCTCCTTGGAAACTAGACAGACGCTTGTCTCGTATGCTCCGCCGAGTCATGCGAGCGCTCTACTGACCGATCCGAGTCTCGATTATGCTTTTATTGGGTTGCAGAACGGTACGGGGTATATTGGATTGGATTGTGATGTTTCTCGGACTGACGAGGTGTCTTGATTAGGTGATATCATTGCCTACGATCTGGATCGTGAAACTTTGACGCCGTTCCGTGTGCCTAATCTGTGGGCTCAGCGCAATGCCCGTGTTCGCCTTTGTCCTGTTCTCAGTCTCTCCTTTTCGCCTCGGGATATTGGGAAGATCTTGGTCGGATATCCAGAAGGTGCTGTGACGTTTTCTTTCAAGCAGAATGTTGCTCAAAAGTATTTCGAATATGAGGTCCCACCCGGTGCTCTGGGGGGAAACGGTGATGTTCCGGCGTCGGAAATGCGCAGGCCTCGACTGACTAGGGCCCTCTGGCACCCGAACGGTATCTTCGTGTTGACGGTGCATGACGATAATAGCTTGGTTTTCTGGGACTCTAAGGACGGCCGCAAAATCATGGCCAGATCTATCAATACCCCCAACGTTGACCAGCCGGGAGTCAGCCCCGAACGACCCCAGTCGGCTACCGGGCTCAAGGACCCAATCACCAACATCGCGTGGTGTGTAAAAGACAACGGAGATGACAGTGGACTATTGATCGCTGGCGGTCGACCGAAAGCTGAAGCCAACAAAGGACTGACTTTTATTGACCTGGGACCGACCCCTAATTATCAGACGTCTTCGTGGGCAATGATCGCAAAGTACTTCGAGACCCCGAAACGCACCGCAATCCTACCTACTCCCCCCGGTGCAGAAGTGGTCGACTTCTGCCCCATCCCTCGTAGTACTCCTTACTATGGCGGCGCCCATGACCCCATCGCATTGCTCGCCCTCTTGTCCTCAGGAGAAGTGATCACGATGAGTTTCCCTAGTGGTCACCCCATCACTCCCACAAACATGCTCCATCCATACCTTAGTTTCGTGCATCCTTTCGTGAACAAGGTTACTCTAACGTCAGTCGATCGTTCTGCGTGGCTGGGCCTGAAGGAGAAAAGATCACAGGGGCCTAAGTTTTTGCTCGGAGGAGCGGAGGTAAGAAAACCGTTAAAGCGCTTCGAGGATCGTAACGTTCTTACGACGGCTCATGCCGATGGCACCATTCGCATCTGGGATGCTGGTGTCGATGACGAGATCGAGAACGGGGACGTCATTCAAGTGGACCTGGCCCGAGCTGTTGGCCGTGTCGGAAACGTAGAGGTAACCGAGATGTCTTTCGGAGGCTCAACGGGTGAGCTCTCAGTCGGCCTGCGCACCGGCGAGCTCGTCGTCTTCCGATGGGGAAACAACCAGAGCTTTGGCCGTGAAGAGGCTCCAGGTGCCAACGAAGGGCCTGGAAAATTGACCAAGATCACTCACAGAGTCGACCCTGGACTGAAGACGGGTATTCTGCCACTGACACTCCTGAACATGCAGCAAGGTCCAGTGACTGCCTTGAAGCATAGTCAAGTGGGCTTTGTCGCTGTTGGATTCGAAGGAGGTAGTCTAGCAATCCTGGATTTGCGCGGGCCCGCAATCATCCACACAGCTCACTTTTCTGAGCTGTTCAAGGTGAACAAACGAGGCAGTACCTTCAATAAGCGCAGCGCTGAGAGCCCGGCTCCTGAATGGCCCACCAGCATTGAGTTTGGTGTGCTGACTCTTGAGGGTGAAGGTGAGAATTCTAGTCTATGTGATGTGGATAGTGCTGACGTCTCGCAGATTATTCCAGTATTTGCTGCTTCGTGGGTACTAACAGAGGCAACCTGGCCACATTCAAGATTTTGCCAGGGGAGGGTGGGCGCTACTGTGCTCAATTTGTCGGCACAAGCTTGCTGGATGACAAGGTTATCAACATCATTCCCGTCAACGCAGACGACGGCGGACTTGCATTGGCCACCCCCAATTCTGTCGGAGGTTTGAGAAACGGTGTCCGCGTTCATGGTGTCGTCGTCGCGGTGACTGTTTCCGGGTGCAGAATCTTCAAGCCAGCAACTTCCAAGGGTGCCCATAGGTCCTGGGATGACTACCTTTGCGATTCCGCCGCGGTTGTCAAGACTGAGGCTCGTGGATACAGTCTGGTTGGGCTTTTCGGAGACGGATACACGCGAGCGTTCTCGATTCCTGGTCTGAAAGAGATTGGCGCCAGCCCAATCAATCAGATCGCTGATATGAGACGCCTCTCGGATGCCACGATCTCCTCCAACGGCACCGTCATGGTCTGGACCAGTCCTTCTGAAGTGGGCTTATTCAGTGTTTGGGGAGGAGGACACGCACTGTAGGCAACACCTATCATCTTATTTCAGGGCTGTGGGCACTAACAAACTATATAGACGCCAGTCCGAAGACCAGCTCTACAACCCGCAGGCTGTTATGCCCCCACGACCCACGATCACCAACATCCAGTGGATCTCAGGAACCCAATACGTTTCCCCAGCCGATATGGATATTCTCAGTACGTATACTCCCCTAACTAGCCTACAATCAGCGACTGACTTATAACAGTCGGCGGTCCCGACCGGCCACCATCCAAGCGCATGCAGGAGCAGATGCGCCTAGACGAAGAGGAGCGCCGCAAAGCATTCCGGGAAGGCAGAACCCCGACAAACAAATCGTCGAGCAGCCAGGAAGGATACTTGTCGTACATGTCGCGCCAAGTGCAGGAACGCACCGAACGGCTCAACTTTGCCGGCGACAGCATGGATCGACTGGAAGAGAGCAGCAGCAACTGGGCTCGCGACGTGAACAAGTTTGTCAGTAACCAGAAGAAGAAGGCAGTTCTTGGCGGTAAGTCTCCCTCCTCTTTCTCAGAGACTATTTCTCAGAGACTAAGCTAACGGATTTATAGCACTCGGCTCAAAGTTCGGCTTCTAGATGCGTATTACAGTGACATGAAGAAGAAAAAGAAGCGTTCAGCAGTAACGGCTGAGTACATTAGACCCACTATTCCTACCATACCTTACCATACCATACCCATGCTTTTGTTGGCGTTTTTGTGTGCTATTTCTGTGTTGAACAAATGATTCAACTTGATTCTCGGATTCAATCGAGCTTCTTCGGATCTTCAAACCGTAAACGTAAAGAAAAGAAAGAAAGAACGAACGAACGAAAGAAAGAATCCTTACGCAAGCGCAAGGACCACCCCTCTCACTTCCCCCTTACTATAGCAAGCACCAGTAGGATAAGTAAAAGGGAGCAACTCAAAGATAAGTATCTACTAGGTAGGAAGGTTGCTTGACTTTCCTTGCTTCAATCTTTTTCTCACCTACTTTTCGCGCTACTAGATAAGTATCTATTTGTCTTCACCGCAGTATTCGACCACCTATCAACCAAAATTTGAATAGGGCAGTGTGTTAACATGTAGATAATTAGAATAAGGATGGGTATGTTAGTTGATACTATAGTATAGAACTAATAGCCACTTCAAAGCTCAATAACTTTTCATATTCTGCATTGTTGTCACGAGAGTGAATCGGGCCAGAATTTAAAATCCAATAGTTGCTACAGTGGTGAAGTTACACAGCAGAAAAGCGGGAATTAATATCATTCGATATAGGACAAGTTTTTATGATGTAAGTAACTAGTTGTATATATGTATGTACTGTAGATCAATGCCATTGTGTAGGCTACTTGTTTGGGTTTTACCCTGTTGGGAAATGGCTTTTGGCCTTGCGTTGGTTTTCCCCAATGTACACTGTTAGGGATGCATGCAGTTGCCATGGTAGTTTTGATTCTTCAGATTGCCCTTGCATTTGATGCGGTGAGGAATGTGGAGGGGTAAGATAGTAGTGAAGAAGGAAAGGTGAAATCAAGTATGTGCATTTTTTCGAATTATGTTGGTTTGGCTGGTCGGGTCTATGTCATAAAGCTAAATACTTGCAGGGATATGATAGATGATATGTTGTCATGAAACACGTTGCAACCCAATCGTAAAATCATTCGACAGATAGGAATAAAGAAACGTAGTATAACTTCGAGGCTCTTCAGTTGCTTTAGTGCACCATCAGCTCGGGCTGTTGTTGATGGGCCGCGGGATTGTTGTTGCTGGCGCCTCCGGCGGATTCATCCTTCTGCTCGGAATCATCGCCCATCTCGACGTCCTCATCGCCATCGTCGCCCTCTTCCTCGTCAAGCTCCTCTTCATCTTCGTCGCTCTCATCTTCGATGTCCTCGGACTCGGCGTCCGAGATGTCTTCCTCCTCTTCCTCCTTGGCGGCAGGGCCCTCGGTACCCTCCATCTCTTGATCTTCGGTCTTGGGCTCCAGATCGTTGAGCTCCTTGAAGAGGGCTGCTTCCAGCTCTGCTTCCTCTGCACCGTAGGCAGCACTGTCATCGCCCTCCTGGTCGGCTTCGGGCTGGTCCGGCGGGTATTCAGCGGGGGCAGATTCCTCCGAATCCCTAGGCGGTAGCTGTTAGTATCGTATGGCAAAGAAACATAAACAGGGCACTCACCACTTGATGGCAAAGCGGGTTACTCTGGGCTTCTCAGCAAGGATATTCCGACGGATGCGTTCGATGATTGGCCGCGCCGGCGGCTGCTCCATGAGCTCCTCGGAATCGTATTCATTGTTTACATAGTAGCCAACACGGACGAATTCTCTGCCGTCGTAGCTGCAAGTGAGAAGGATCACGGTAACTCCCAGAATTTCGGAAGTAGGGATGCGCTTGAGGTCTGGGGGGTCGGCCTCGAAGATGAATTTGTTGACACCGACGGGGATCGGTCCCACCAGCAGGGAGTCGAGTTCCTGGTCATATTCGGAGCTAGAGAAAAACGTCGTTAGCAGGTAGATTGGATTTCATCTCGGTCCAGGTCCAACTTACGATGTCGCCGAACCGACATAGGTGAGCTTCCACTCCAGATCTGGAAACTCATTAGCGACAGCCAATTCACGGGAGCGGGGTTCACAGCCTACCTTTCTGCAGCTGTTCAAGACATTCAAACGTGATCTCGAATTGATAGGGGTCGAGGAAGGAGGCAGGGTTATTGACGATTTTCACGCCAAGAAGAGAAACGACCGACATAGCGATGGAGGGGCGGTAGTGGAGCGAGCTGCTTGATGGAGTAATATGGAGGGACAGAGGGGGTGGAAAGGATGGTGTGGTAGACCAGAGGTATTAGATGTGGAGAAGTATGATGAAGAGAGGAGTGAGGCAAAGAGGTTGTGGAGGTATATAAGAGGTATGAAAAGGGAGGAGGGAAGAGAGAAGAGAAGAGAGAAGAGCAGACGATCTCTTTTTGGCAACTGAATGGGGATGCAGCGGCCAGCAGTAATTAAACATGCGGCAGGAAGATCGACGACGCGCCGCGTGTTTCTGCGCCCAAGTTCGCGCCCACCGCCTAAGTCACGTGGGCAAGCACCGGTCGGGCAAAGCAAAGAAAGAAAGAAGAAAGAAGCTCTCGAAGCGGATGAACTCCATCTTGTCGTCAGTGTCGCTGATCCACCAGCGGCCTCTCGTGTCTATCGCCCGCTCCTATCTTCAAACGCAGATTCTGTCTCTCCCCTGAACCTTCCCCTCTCTCCTCGTTCATCCCCAACACCTTACTGCCTGTCGTGGGTCCTTCCCCTCTCTCATGAGTGAATGACCGATTCATCATCGCTCATTCTGCTGTCTTCCCCATTCAAGACCTCAATCCAGCTAATCAAACTCAATCAGGTTTCTCCGTCGCTCCCCCCTCCCTCAACTACCAACACCCCTCCCCCCCTAACATATATCCCATAATACCTTTGTCGCATTCAATCACACACCTTGGTCATGGCTGAAGATGATGCTGAACAGGCCTTTTTCCAGGCTCAGGCTATGAATGCGGACTCTGGAGACTATAAGACCGTGGAAGAGCAGGATGCAGATAGTTCAGATTCAGATGACTATGATCCTTCCAAATCACTGCCAGATCAGTATTCTGTTTCCTTGACAGATTCCAACCAACCGGACAATGTTCCTGATCATGATGCTACTCCTTCCAATTCCAATCCCCCCGAACAAACTACTACTACCACTACCACTACCACTACCACTACCACCTCTACTTCCCTGCCTGCCCCCCCTGAATCAGACCCTAGTCAGCCAGCTGGCAATGCCTTCCCTTCTGAGACACCTTCACGAGCTGAGTCCCAGACACCAGCATCGGGCCTCGCCACTGGGGCCTCGGTTCCGCCCAAGACCAGGACAATTGGGGGCTTTGTGGTCGAGGATGAGGATGAGGATGAGGCGGGTGAGGCAGATTATGAGCCACCAGCTGTACTAGGTGTCGAAGACATGAATACTATACCTTCGCAACCCATTTCAGGAAATGCAAATGAAGCTACTTCTACCCCTGATGTATCATTGGATGAAGCTGCGCAAGTGTCTGCCAGCACGAAGAATGCCCCTAATAGTTCTTTCCCTGCTGCTTCTAAAAATGATGTGTCGGTGGCTTCGGGCCAGGAACTGTACAGCGCAAGTGTTGCCCCATCGGAACAGGCGCAGGATGGGACCACCGTGACCCCCGAGTCGCCCTCGACCGCTAGGGGCCGCTTGCCTCACGACCGGGTTGGCATCCTGGAAGATCGCATCCAAGAAGACCCCCGTGGTGATATTCCCGCCTGGCTGGAACTGATTAACGAACACAGGAGTCGCAATAGAATTGATAACGCACGCGATGTGTATGAGCGCTTTCTAAAGGTTTTCCCATTCTCTGTAAGTGGTCTCTTTTGTATATCTTGGGAAGCGACCAACTCGACTAACGGTCCTAGGCTGAGCAATGGGTGGCTTACGCGACAATGGAGTCCGAGCTGAATGAACTCTTCCGCCTGGAGCAAATATTCAACCGGACTCTGCTGACGATTGCGGACGTGCAACTCTGGACGGTATACCTTGACTACGTTCGTCGCCGGAATCCCCTCACCACCGACACAAACGGGCAAGCGAGGCGAATCATTTCATCGGCCTATGAATTGGCGCTGCAGCACATCGGTATCGACAAGGATTCAGGGTCGATCTGGTCCGACTACGTCCAGTTCATCCGCTCCGGCCCAGGCAACGTCGGGGGCTCTGGATGGCAGGACCAACAGAAGATGGACCTGCTTCGGAAAGCCTATCAACGGGCCATTGGGGTACCCACCCAGGCTGTCAATACTCTCTGGAAAGAGTATGATCAGTTCGAGATGGGCCTGAACAAGTTGACAGTAAGATTCTAACAAAACGCCCTATGAAATATCCGCTCTGATAATGATCTTTTCTTCGTACAGGGCCGTAAGTTCCTACAGGAGCAGTCTCCTGCGTACATGACCGCCCGCAGCTCCTTCACTGAATTGCAGAACATCACCAGGGACCTCAACCGGACAACGCTGCCGAGGTTACCTCCCGTTCCGGGTTCGGACGGTGATATTGAGTTCCTGCAGCAGGTCGAGATCTGGAAACGCTGGATCAGTTGGGAGAAGGGCGACCCGCTTGTCTTGAAGGAGGAAGACATGAGTGTTTTCCGGACGCGTGTGGTTTATGTCTATAAGCAAGCACTTATGGCCCTTAGGTTCCTTCCCGAGCTGTGGTTTGAAGCTGCTGAGTTCTGCTTCCACAACGACATGGAGACCGAAGGGAACGAGTTCTTGAAGCACGGCATTGATGGCAACCCAGAAAGCTGCTTGCTTGCATTCAAGCGTGCGGACTGGTTGGAAATCAACTCTGATTCCGAGCAGGATCCCGTCAAGCGCGGCGCCAAAGTCAGAGAACCCTACGACCGACTCCTCGATTCGCTTTACGAGCTGATCGCCAAAGCCCGGACTCGCGAGCAGCAAGATGTTGCTCATCTCGAAGAGACCTTCGCAAAGATGAATCCCGAGAAGCAACCGACAAAGAATGAGGACGATGATGACGATCAGAGTGAGGCGAAGGCGAGGGAGTCCGTCAAAAACGCACAGATCGACGCGGTCCGACAAGCACATGCCATACAGATTGGTATCCTTTCCAAGACCATATCCTTTGCCTGGATTGCTCTGATGCGCGCCATGCGCCGCATCCAGGGTAAGGGCAAGCCTGGGGAGATGCCGGGCTCGAGACAGATCTTTGCAGATGCGCGCAAAAGGGGTCGCATTACCAGTGATGTCTACATTGCCAGTGCTCTCATTGAGTATCATTGCTACAAGGACCCCGCCGCAACGAAGATCTTCGAGCGTGGTGCGAAGCTGTTCCCTGAAGATGAAAACTTTGCGCTGGAATACTTGAAACATCTCATTGACATTAACGACGTTATCAGTAAGTATACGCGCATGGCTAAAAGTCTACGGATACGATGCTAACTGACTCCAGATGCACGGGCTGTTTTCGAGATGACGGTCAGGAAGCTCGCTTCTAACCCCGAGAACGTCCAGAAGACGAAGCCTATCTTTGCCTTCCTCCACGAATATGAGTCGCGGTACGGTGACCTTGTACAAGTGATTAATCTCGAGAACCGCATGCGCGAGCTGTTCCCGGAGGACCCCACGCTGGAGCAATTCGCACACCGATACGCGACCCCTGGTTTCGATCCCACTGCTGTGAGACCCATTATCTCACCCTCTCAGACACGCCCCAAGATGGCCTACCCGGCCGAGCAAGCCATTTCCCGTCATGCCACGCCTACTGCGCGGTACCAGGACGCGTCTGCGACAGACTCGCCTAAACGCCAGCTGGATGACTTCGATGACGACATGGCTCGGCCGCGCAAGTTCGTGCGTGCCGAGTCTCCCCTCAAGACGACGCAGCGACGCCAGCTGGACCAGAAGCGCACGCAGCAGACCATGGGTGGGCCGTCCGGGGGCCAGTTCCGGTCGCAAGGATCACCGGCACCTCTGCCGCGCGACATCGTTTATCTTCTCAGCATTATACCTTCTGCCTCCGCATACAACGCGGGGAAGTTCTCTCCGGAAAGGATGGTCGATCTGATTCGGAGGATCGATATGCCCAGTTCGATCTCCCAGATTCCGCTTCCACGGGGACTGGGAGCTGGGCAGACGCCACAGTCATTTCCAGGTAAGTACACCTAAATAACATGATTAGTTGGGCAGTTGACTGATTCACAGCAGGCATCTACCGTTCATGATTTGTCAATGATATAGACCCTCCGTCATGCAGCTCTTTAAGCGCAAGTAGTCATGTTAACCTGGCGCTGTATCTGTTATTCTTTGTTTTTTTTCTCCGCCGGTTTCGACCGCCGGTACCACCGCAGCGTGGTACTGGAGTGTATAGTTGTTGGATGTCGCTTTGCATTTGATGAACCGGCGTTTTACCTTGGGTTACAATCACGGATGAGTTTGGGCAGCTGGGCCTTGAGTGAACCATCATTATTCGAGTTTGGGAGGGATTTGTACAGGTCTAGTGCCGTCCTAGCATGGCACGAGTTGCAGTCGACAGTTCCTTTGACGTATAATTCCAGCAGGATGAATGCAGCATTATATTGTCCAAACGTTGCTCCTTCAGATACTAAGTACTTCCGAAGTAAATAGTAATTAACGTAGTACCAGCATCCTGATTGGTCCGATCTCAGGCGCGGTCTATCCCCAATAAAGTTAGTTTAAGTCCCTCACCGCTCCGCGCGGACTTCTTTTTCTGCCGCGAAATTTGGAAGAAAATCGAAGCGCATCAGAACTTCAACCAATTTCCACCCCAAATCATGTCGCCCTCCAGCTCCCCAGAGCCCGTTATGGACGATTCCCACGAATCCTCCGACTCGGAGGTCGAGCAGACCGATCTGCAATCCCGCGCCCCCAAGAGAAGACGTCTCTCGGAGTCTTCCACCGACTCCTACGTTGCTCCGGCGCCGCTCCCCACTCTCTCCCGTATCAAGAAGAAGGGCGCAGATGAAGAGAAGAAGCCCGCCACATCGGATAAAGACGAGCCCGTTCTGATCAAAGATGCTCTGGAAATCGGTCTCAACGAAGCGCAGAACTCCTTCGCCTCTCTCAAAGTGGCACCGTGGTTGATCGGTTCCCTAACCACCATGGCCGTTCGCAAACCAACCGCTATTCAGAAAGCTTGTATCCCAGAGATCCTGAGCGGCCGGGACTGCATTGGTGGAAGCCGGACTGGTTCCGGTAAGACCATTGCCTTCTCAGTCCCCATGCTGCAGAAATGGGCAGAGGATCCATTCGGTATCTTCGGCCTTGTCCTCACTCCAACTCGGTAAGCCAAACCTACACCCACCCCCCAATTACCCATCAATCACCAATCGCTAACCCTATATACCCTAGTGAACTCGCCCTCCAAATCTACGAACAAATCAAAGCCATCTCCGCCCCCCAAAGCATGAAACCCCTCCTCATCACGGGCGGCACCGACATGCGCCCCCAAGCCCTCGCGCTCGCGCAACGCCCACACGTCGTGATCGCCACGCCCGGCCGTCTAGCCGACCACATCAACACCTCCGGCACCGACACCATCCGCGGCCTGAAGCGCGTCCGCATGGTCGTTCTCGACGAAGCCGACCGACTCCTCTCCCCGGGACACGGCAGCATGCTCCCCGACGTCGAAACCTGCCTTTCGGCCCTCCCGCCCTCCAGCGAGCGCCAAACCCTCCTCTTCACAGCAACCCTAACCCCCGAAGTACGCGCACTGAAATCCATGCCCCGCCCGGCCTCCAAGCCCCCCATCTTCGTGACAGAAATCTCCACCGAAAACAACGCCTCCATCCCCCCGACCCTCAAACAAACCTACCTCAAAGTCCCCATGACCCATCGCGAAGCCTTCCTCCACGTCCTCCTCTCCACGGAAGCCAACGCCTCCAAACCAGCCATCATCTTCTGCAACCACACCAAGACTGCGGACTTGCTGGAGCGTATGCTCCGCAGACTGTCTCACCGGGTGACCTCCCTGCATAGTCTGCTGCCGCAGTCGGAGCGGAATGCGAATCTGGCGAGGTTTCGAGCGTCCGCGGCGAGGTTGCTCGTCGCGACGGATGTGGCGTCTCGTGGTTTGGATATTCCGTCCGTGGAGTTGGTGGTCAATTTCGATGTGCCGAGGAATCCGGATGATTATGTGCATCGGGTGGGTAGAACGGCGCGTGCGGGAAGGAAGGGTGAGTCGGTGACGTTGGTGGGGCAGAGGGATGTTAGTCTTGTGTTGGCGATTGAGGAGAGGGTTGGTAGGCAGATGGAGGAGTGGAGTGAGGAGGGAGTTAGTGTTGAGGGTAGGGTTGTTAGGACGGGTGTGTTGAAGGAGGTCGGAGAGGCGAAGAGAGAGGCGAATGGCGAGATTGAGGAGGGGAGAGATGTCTTGGGGAGGAAGAGGAATAAGTTGAAGAAGGTGCGGTAGTTGGGTTTATACTACTCACGCACTACCCGGTTTTTCTAGTTATGTATATAATGTCGTTTATTTAGCAATGGCATGTAGATCTGATTTGCATTTCATTGTTGGTATAATATCATTGACTTTTCTCGAGAAACCATTGCTGATGCGATGGGTTCGGAGTATAGTCACGTATGTAACGTCTGTCTATCTATCTATTTGCATACATGCATGCACCACCCCACACAATCCCATACTAATACACGCTTCTCCAAACCAAATGTGACACGAGCAAGCAAAATAAAACTCCACTCCAAATCCAATTTTGTCCAACGAATCCCAACTCCAACTCCAATACCATCTATAACCAAAGTTTCAATGCAAAATTCAAAACACCAACACTCACGCGACCCCAGTTCCAGTCCCACTGACAACACTCTCCCCCGTTCCCATCAACTTTAACAACCCATCCACGGCATCTCCCTTTTGCGATAACCGGCGTTGTCTCTCTTGCGGCTCCTCGTCTTCTGCCATGTCCATATCCTTGCCAATTTCTGTACTTCTGCACCTCGACACCGTCGCCGGAGGACTACTCAACTGCATTGGGGAGCCGAGGGTGTTTGTTCTCCGGTGGGTATGATTGTGGTGAGTTGAAGATTTCTGGGTGGGTGTTCTCATAGGATCGTCGTCATCATCGTCATCTCCTCTTTGGGCTGGTGTTTGAGTATCTTGTTCTTGTTCCTTCTGTGTTGCGACCGTTCCGGTGGATAGGGGTGGGGAGGAGAGGCCGGACGCGTTCTGGGTCTCGGTTTCGTGCAGCGGGAGGTGTGTGGTAGGTTGGTAAGGGCGCGGGGTGGTCTGGTTTTGGTTCTGGGAGGACGAGGATGTGGAAGAGGAAGTCGGCGTGGTCATGTTAATTCGCTGTTCTTGGGGAAGAGATAGACGAGGGTATTTGCGACTGTGAGCTTCAAGGTCGGAGAGACGGCGGTCGAGTTGAGGGTCTTGGATGTGACGCATAGCAGTTTGGAGGCGCGTGCGGAGGAGGGTTGCTTTCTGGAAACTGGTTAGTACTCTCTGTCAGTGGGGATGGGGGTACGAGGTGCGTACCTCTTGGATGAAGCGCTTGCGCGTTGCTGGATCTTCGGGGATGAGGGGTGTTGTTGTTGTCGGTGTTGTTGTTTGGTCGGAGTGGGTATCTTCTTGTGGCTGGTGTTGTTGTGATTCTAGAAGCTGTGTTGGTGTCTTTGGCGTCGCGTGTGGCTGAATTGGCTTTTTGTTAGAGTCAATGGACTATTTGACGCATTTTTGACTGGGTGTGTGGAATTGTGGTGGTACATACCTGAGGGTCCTGCTGAACGTCATGCTGCACGTTCGGAGATGCTTCTGGCCGCGACTGGGGCTGCGCGCTGGCATGGCTGATCTGGGGTTCGCTGGTGCTGTCCACCTGGTCGATAGAACGTTTCTGACCCGCAAAGAGAGGTGAAGGAAGGAGCTTCTTAGGAGAGGAGGTGTCAAGGAGAGGGCGTTGTTGTTTGAGGGGCGAGACAGAAGCGTGCCGATGGTGGGCGGGTGACAGGCACGCGTTGGCGTGCTTCTCCCCGAGCACTCGCCTACCGTCTTTGACGGGGCTGGGGTGTGATGCGGACATGGTAGAGTGCATTGGAGGGTGTAATGCGCTCCGTCGAACAGGAGCTTTAAAGAAGAAGGGTGGTGTCGTGGTGTAGGTAAAGTAAAAGAGTGTGTTGGGGGGGAAGTTTAGGGTGAGTAGGGTTTAGTAGAAATGGCAGTAAAGTAGTACTAGTAAGTAGTAGTAGTAGTAGTACTAAGTCACGATGCCCACACACGCGCACACACGTCTTCGGGAGTGGAGGATCACGAGCTGGTGCAATTGGGTCCGAAAGATAAAGAGGGAGGAAGCAAGGGAGAAAGGCAAAGTCACGGTCTGGGTCAGAAGACTCAATGGCAGCGAGTTGGGGAGAAAGATGGGGGGGGGAAAGACAAGAGGCGCGTGGTCATCCGCGTCGAGGGTTCGGTGGTTCCCCTTTGCGGTGAAACTAAGCAACGTCCAGCCTCATAGCGTGTCTTTCTTCTTCCCTTCCACGCGTCGGCCGCTTTTCAACATCCACTTTTATTTACGGCGTTGTGGTTTCTCCGTAGAAGATGAAATGGTAACACTCTACACTGAATGAGTGCCATTCGGTAGTTTCATAATTGGGGAATTGGTGTTTAATCTGTCTAGTGTCTACACGTGCAATCCAGGTGTCTCTGTCATTCTCGGGTTCCACTTCATCGCGATCTAGCAAAGTGCAAGCAGATAGCAGCATCCACATTCCTGAAGCTGTGCAAATGACTGGCTACTGCGCTGGGCTCCATCTGTTTTACACACTCTCTCTCCATCAATAGCAGCGGGCTTTATTATGACCCATCGGTAGAATGCTTGTTGTCTGCCTCAGGTTTCACTGACATGCTACGGGATAATTGCTGTTTTAAACCTTGTACCACATGTCTGCTTCTTTCCTATCTATCAAGTTCCACCGGTAGATTATAAGCGATGATTGGAAGAGTCATAACATAGAGTCAGAGAGCTCCAGTCTTTGACATGAACATCAGTAAACCTCGTGGTCAGGGACCATGCTGGCGTTGCTCCAAACGAAGCTATGACGCGTACGCGGGGGATGCAATGTTTGTGTTGCTGAAGATTGATACTTCATGTAGTAGTTGAGTATAGTAATATCTGGAGGCCAGTGGCCAAATAGTAACCATTCAAGTGATCAGTACTTAATACTGCGAAAAGATGTCACGCATTGTTAAGAATACATCCATGCCCCGTCGGAGACATATTTGTCGGCCGTCCCGATCGAAACTAAGTAGGTAGGACAGCAGCTCAACTGAACTCGGCCCAGAACCAGTAAGCAGCACACGATTCAGACTAGACAGAAATCTCTAGTTCTGCACATACCTTTGTATGAGTATTAGTAGAGCAGCGTATACATCTTTGAGCACATTGAACTTTTGCATGTCAAATGTATTGATTACCGTATTTGGTTAGTGGCATGTAATTGCGGGGTAGCTGGTCTAGATAAGGCTAGCCTTTTACCATTCTAGGACGGGTATAACCAAAGTGGGACAGAAATGCAGTCCACGACAGTCGTTGATTGGTCGGTAACATG